CCGACTATAGTCCTTGTGTATAAATCTTCATGATACAGTAAAATAGTTCATTTACTTGCTTCTTTCTATCTAGAATCTGCTGAAACCGTCGTTCGTATTACTAAGACTTCTAACAACTACTGAAACAAATATATTGGTTAAAAGCACAAGCTGAAAATAGAACTAACGATCACGTGGAATTTTGGGATTTAGTTAAGAGGCTGCTCTACAAGATCATTGACAATTTTCCTTAGGAACGAACTTCCGAAATTCCGTAGAAAATATGGCTACAACGATTGAAATAATTTCTACAAAAAATCTACCATAGCAACCATTTTGAATGAGATCCGGAAAACTGGTCTCATGTACGCAATAAATATATTTTATTACGCCCTAAAAGTTGTGGCGATATTAAAAGCATATATTTATGAGTTAGCCATATCACGCGTGTCTGTGACTGACAATATATTACGAGTATTTTTATTCACACATTGATAAAAGCTATTTTTGAAAGATATTACTTTTTATAAGACCTTAAGATGTATATCAAAAGGACATTACAGCGATTTTATTTAAAAATCGAGTTTTAAGACATTTTAAGGATAAAATATTCAAGCAAAGACCACGAAAATAACATGTAGGTGTAATTTTGGAAGATTGCGAGACAGGGGTCAAAAGGTTCGGGATGTCGTATCATTTATGCAACGATTCTAAAAGGAAAGAACATTTTTGCAAAGTTGTTTCAGAGAGTCAATTTCTTAACAACATTTCTTTATTACATTCTAGATGGCAGATTATAAGATTGTGGTGCATTTTAATTGTTTTATCAAAACATTATCTAACAACTTACGCCATTATGTTCTTAAAAAAAAACACACCAATTTCAATTACATAACCTTTTCATTTTAGAAAATTTAAAGTCTTAATTATTATTTTCCACTTCATAACTTGATGTTTTTCATTTAGCCAACTGAAATAATCTAAAAATATGAAAATCAGCACTAAAATGACGTCCAACACCGCCAGCGCCCGCGCAGCGCGGAAGCGACCGGTCCATCTTTTTTCTTTTCCTTTTTTACCTTTCCTTTTTTATTCGTTCGTCCGCGGAATTAATAGCTCTGACTTTATCATTTATCTTCGGTTAGGGCGCGGGCAGGCTCTCCTTTTTGTAATTTTCTTATTTGTACCTTTTGTAGGACTACAATTTGGGTTTGATGCTGTTAGGGTCGTTTGGTTTCGGTTGCTTTCGTTTTGGGATTACTTTTATTGATTTCAGTCCTATAATTTAACTTGTTTATTTGTTGAGGAATACACAAAGTAAGAAAGAATCAAAAAGAATTCATGGTGTTTTTGATGATATAAGTAGTCTTTGTTTACTAGTTATTTATTTTATGAAATGTGCATAAGTATACAATAGTACATATTTCAAACTAATTATAGCCTTACATTCTTAGACATTAATATGTATAACAATAAAATCAAGCCAGCCCAGATAAAGCAAACCGAAAAACCACCCCAGAAGCCTAACTACTTGTGTGCACCGAGCCTTACCCGGCGTTATCAAGCTTGCCTCCATCAATTTAATTCGAAAGCCAGTATGCGCGCACGCACGCTGCAGAATTACGTGTCATCGGTCATTTAGCCAGCTTCCTTTATAAATCGCTGAGATGATCGCTCGCGGATGACAATTCATTAATTAAACGAAATAAGTGCCCTGTTCACTGCACTGCATGAAAACAAGGACTAAAATGTTGAAATACTGATAATCTTTACTTTACTGAAATGCTTACCATGATTCTGATAAAACCTAACTCACGAAACATAAGGCCTATCATGGCAAAGCACTCAAGCTCACCTACTTCCTTTTAATAAAGAAAACTAGATACAAAGTAGAGGCTCTCTACGCGTCAGCACGATACTACCACCCCAAGTAATTTGTGTACTAATATTGTCTAATTCTGCGCCTTACGAATGGAAATAAAGTCGCCTGCGTTCACTAGATAAAACACTAATCCGGTTAGGGTTGGCACCCATTACTTTTGATGTCGCAAAAGATGGCAGTAAGAGGTTAGTCAAAGTTTGCAACAACAATTCTTATATTCGTTCGTTCGTTCGTTTCAGCTGAAAGACGTAAATGCGCCAGAGATAACGCACCATTTGCATTGGTTGGTGCGAGGTTACCTCGTTTATTAATACAGTACCAAAACAGGCACTGATTATTATCATCCTCACCAGAGTTTAAGAATCTGGTGTTAATCGGCCTGCATCGATCTAGATTAGGTTCGTTTATTCTCTTTTTGTCTTACTTTATAATATCCGTATGTTATTAGGCAACCCTATACCAGTTGTAACCAGAATCATCCGGAACGAGTCGGCTGCGGACTTAGCCAAATGACACCCGGGGGCGTGCTTCGTCTTCCTCGCTCCCAACGGGGTAGAAAGAGAGCACTTGATTACATGCCACTTCAGGTGGTTTAAATGGGATATTCTTCGGGTATGCTGTATGAAAAATTGGGTGGCACAAGAAGCTGCGGATTCTTTTACAGTATTTATATGAAGAAACGTTAGCACTATGTAGTTTCAATTTTGGCTCAGAACTATTGAACAAGAGATTTTACCGATGAAGTAGAACAATTTTAAAACGATGTGAAGGGCCTTAAAGCAATTACAGGGTGAGTATTTTTAGCCTATACACATTGGAGTTAATTCATTTGTATTTATTAAGAGGCGTATATTAAGTAACGAGTCCCTGATGACTCAAGTGTCTCCGTAGCCATCGCAGGCGCAGGTGGGTCGAGCAAACACGCGAGCAAACAAACCCTTTTTGATTTATCTTGTACGTTTGCTTTCTGTGTGCCTGCAGAGTGAGATACCTTGAGTCATATCAGAAATTCTGTTAATTTAATGATTAAATTATGGAGACCGGCTTGTGGTTCGCTTAACAGCTTACTACGTCAGCGGTTGCGGTTTCGAATCCCGCTGGGATCAAACGTCACTGCGATAATAATAATGCTTATTACAAACTCGCAAAGTTGCAAAGGTCACGGACGACGATAACTCGCTATCGACTTATCACAACATCACCTACAAAATTATTAAAAATATTATTATTATTGAAAGTCGTAATTTTTGAAAAGTCGCATAGTGTGTACAATCCCGGCGAGGATGCTTGTCTATTCCCCGTAAGGAATAATCCGTTATCAGTTCCCCGTGCTCAGACATAACTGATAAGAGTGAAGTGTCGGCATTGCTTGCTTTCCGGTAGTTTCACTTACAAAAGTTTCTCTTCTGAAACATAACATATTGGGGCCACGTTTCGAGACTGTTTTTGTACTCCATTAGTGCCCACGGGACCCAATACCTTACTGGATTACTCTATCCCCCGATTTTCGACAATCGAATGTAACTTCAGTATTTACTTATTAGGTAGCCTGTTGAAGTTTTCACTCAATGCAACTTGTATTGCCCCTAAGCGCAATTATAATGAGGATGAATTTCCAACTGCACATACTTAGTTAAAAGGAAACGAGATATCTTCATTGGAAAGGGTAAGGTAATTCGTACACTATTGAAGCTCCACTCTTGAATAAGATTTCCACGCGTACAAAGTCACAGAATCAGTTAGTTACTGCTGTAAAGTAAAGAATGTCACCAAATAACAAAGGATCAATAACCCTGAATCCTTGAACACTGAAAACAAATTACTTCGCAAGTCATTATCTGCCATATAGCTCATTAATGCGCACTGAAATTAATGTCTACAGCGCACCTTTCAGCAATGAATCATGGTTTTCTTTGTCGTTAGTTTCCACAAAGCATTGAAACATTGCAACAAAGTAATTTATTGTTCAAGCAGGTGAATCACATGATCAATACAAGTGATAATTATATCAAGGATGAATTAGTTTTCACATATTATTGTTTTGGATTAATATTACTTCAAAATATTATTGAATAAACAATGCAAAAGTTAACATATTTATGTCGGTAATACCATTACCTAAGTTCAAAGTATTATTGTGATCGAGAAATTTCTTAAAATTTTGAATTTTCTCGCAAATACCGATTTAGCTTTTTATAAAACTCTGTGCCCGTAAATCGTATCATACTGTTTTATATTATGGCTGCACCTAAATAGGAAATCGATTAAAATCATGTCCCATTGTGAATAAAGGTATTATACCCGTAATTGCTGATTATCTAACCCATCCAATCATAAGTGAATGGTTGGAGCAATGCAAGCTAATTGTATGGGCGAACATTGTATGTAATCGACTGTGACCAATTAGTAATGACTCTTATTGTACGTACAGTCAGCAGCGCATCAGACTACACATTACATAGATTTTTGTTGCAAAATCGTACTTAACACAGCGGTATAAGATGCTAGTGTTGTGTGAATCTTGATGTGCCGCTGTGTGCCTGCGTATAGCGTAGCGTATGGGACCTATCAACAGAATTATACTCTTCTACCAAATACCTAGGTTAGGTACTATAAGTTAAAAGTCTTGTTCTTTGATACAAGAACAAATTCTGCTCCAATTAGTTGCGGCTGCGGGTTCAAATCTCATTACCCAAATAATGCCATTACCAAAATGTATTATTCAATTACACCCTTAGGTATCTATCATCATCATCATCATCATCATTTCAGCCACAGGACGTCCACTGCTAAACATAGGCCTTCCCCAATGACTTCCACATCGCACGGTTGGTAGCGGCCTGCATCCAGCGCCTTCCTACTTTTATCAGATCGTCGGTCCACCTTGTGGGTGTACCTCAGGTATCCGTATGTAATTTATCTTAAATACTGGGTGTAAAATTGGAACTATCATAATATGGGAATAAGTGTGGCTAGATTCCCCCCAAAATCAAAGTTTTTAGAACAAATAAGGTACATTTTATTATCCTGTATTATGCAATATTATGAATATGGTCGAGGTCTAAATTATATTATCTTGATTACAATCTATTTTACTTTTATGTCATCTTCTGACGTAACGACATGACAGCGGATTTAACGTCAATACTGATCAGTGTCATCCATAGGTGTCATCAGTGATTATGCGTTTCAGAAATGAATTGTACCAAGTTTTTTTACGTTCTCATTGTAGCGGCATCTCTCCGCTCCGTCCACAACTTCCTCGTGACGCGCTTCAAGAACCCGCACGAGTACGTGGCCCGCGACGACCTCAGCGTGCTCGACTCCCTGGACGACGCCACCTACCAGCACCTCCTCCAGGAACTCCCAATACTTGAGAAGTACGCGAAACGCAGGCGACCGGAATTCATCGAAGATGAAGACAACGAAGAAAATGAAGAGTTCGAATATTACCACGACCAGGACGATCAGGAGGAATGGACCAATGTGAATCTCGAGGAATACTCCCAGCAACGAAACAACCAAGCGGTCAACCTGACTACTACCACACAACTTCCAAAATTGCCTTTCATAACTCGATGGCCGAATCCATCGACTCATCGACAGCCGAAAGTGGCAGCACAGACAAATGATAGCCGAAAATCGTTTCTCAGCTGGCTCAGCCCCTACCAGGGGCCGCGGGTGGCGCGCTGCTTCTGGTGCGGCCTCAACCAGTCGAGGATCCCCCGGAGCCCCCTGTGCCACGACATGTTCGAGACGCAGGACTTCCGAGCGCGGACGCTGGCCAGATTTTTCCGCGCACATTGCCACGAAAACAAATTTCATATCGCCAATAGAAAAAAACCGTTTCAATATTACAGTGGAGGTCCCACGCACAGGTACGCGCCCGGCTTGATCAGCCAGTTCTACGGGCCGTTCACGGGGGGCTGCTTCAAGCGCTTCCTGGACGTGGGCACGGTGTACACGCAGCGCGGCTGCCGCGCCTGGTGGCCGCGCATGAGCTGGGGCGCGCCCAGGTCTTTCGCGGCCCACAGGTAAACATCAATTGGTTCATATTCATCATCATCATCATCATTTCAGCCACAGGACGTCCACTGCTGAACATAGGCCTCCCCCAATGACTTCCACATCGCACGGTTGGTAGCGGCCTGCATCCAGCGCCTTCCCGCTACCTTTATCAGGTTCATATTAGGTATGTTTTATACTCGCTAGCTTCGAGCTCGTATTTTAGAGTACGATGCCTGATCAGGTGATGATGATTATGATGTCTTGCGACTCGCATCTGAATATACCCCTCAACTGCAATCCCCACTCAAAAATCGGTCATATTTTTATTCCGAAGATCTTGACTAAGATCAGCCTTCATGTGATTGATCCTTAGGTTCGCAGCCATGGAGATCCCCCTGAGGAAGTTCAAGAAGGACATCTGCCTGATCTCCCCGCACGCCTCCCTCACCCCCTTCCACCGCGGCATCTCGCTCTACGTGCGCTACCACGTCTGCATTTGCTTCAAGAAGTGGTGCAATGGAGTTGGTACTCTTTGTGTGTCACGTATTGTTATGATAAGCAATTTAATGTTTGTAATAATATATTATGTAACTTTTTATAATTGTCTATTTATTTATTTTTTAAAAAACTAATCATTTCTGAGGCTTTTTAAAACGTCTTTGACTGGTTTTTTCTCATACAGTCATACATAAGATTAGCCAGTAACGATTTTTGTCATAAGTTTAATCCTACAACTACACTCCTCCTACATCGTATCGTACCTATCAATGTCAAAAGAATAAACCTGATTTACAACTAGGTATACTTATTTATAGTAATTACTCGAGTGAAACAGTAGCTCAAGCTTAAAATATGTAATACCTATAATATGATATAACAAGTTATTAAGAATTCATGGAGGTGCAGAAGTGTCGGTCTTTTTCCATCGTTTTTTGCGCCATGACATCACCGAGGCTCGGCCTTATTTTAAATAAAATGTACTGACGAGCAAATAATACGAGCACCACAGTGTTTTTCGTTTAAATATTAATGGGATATTAATATAGCCGGACTCTTTAGTGTTGAGTCGCGTACCGGATAACCGGATACTAACGTAATCTGCGGGTAGTTTCGAATCCAGCTGGCACCACGTACACGCAAACATAATAAACTTACAATATATTAATACTAAACATATTTCCTATTTTATTGGAAGTAGGTAAACTGACGGCCGGAAAACGCAGCGTGGGACGTCCACCAACAAGGTGAACCGACATGTGCGTTCCCTTCGAGAGGCCACTGTGGAAAACGAAGGTTTCGTATACATAAAGATTTAGCAGAACCTCTAAAACAAATGTAGCCAGAATTATAAATTTGTAGGTGTTGTAAGTTGGACGCTACAACTCGCCGAATGTGGTCCCTCAGATGAACTATGTCAAATACCAAATTACTGAATCTGACCAAATAAGATGATTTTGATAAATGGTAATATTTAGGAGGTAAATCGTAGGGCTACGTACGAAAATAAGACCTCTGGATAGTTACTGCAAATAAAGAAAATCCAATCAGACGATGGGCCCTCAGTTCACCAGTGCACAAAATTTACTTTAATGCTACAAATTGGAACTTGAGACTAAGTTTCTTTGGTAAGGTTTTAATTTTAGCAGAAGTAGCCACAATGCTACCCTGAGAGTACAGGGTTTATATATTCTACTAGTACAGAATAAAAGCTCTAGTAAAGTGAGCCCTCGGGAAAATTATTTTTACGTCGTATTTAATTAAAATAAAATCAATAGACTCGGATTTATCTCAAAATACCTCTTAGGCAATCGTACAGAATACCTACTTATACTTTTGTTTTGAGTTTCCTAAAAAAATCGACAATGTGGTTAACATACACAAAATCATTACGGAGAATTTAAGAAGCAAGATATTTCTTTAAATACTTTATATAGCAATAATATTTGAATATAATTTTAAACTGCAAATTTTGTACATAAAATGCTGTAAACTATTTTTATCAAACAATGAGTTGGGCGAGATATTTATCATGGAATTAGTTTTTAGCGTGTGTTCCGAGGGCTCACTTTACTAGAGCTTTTATTCTGTACTAGTAGAATATATAAACCCTGTACTCTCAGGGTAGCATTGTGGCTACTTCTGCTAAAATTAAAACCTTACCAAAGAAACTTAGTCTCAAGTTCCAATTTGTAGCATTAAAGTAAATTTTGTGCACTGGTGAACTGAGGGCCCATCGTCTGATTGGATTTTCTTTACTTGCAGTAACTATGCAGAGCTCTTATTTTCGTATGTAGCCCTACGATTTACCTCCTAAATATTACCATTCATCAAAATCATCTTATTTGGTCAGATTCAGTAATTTGGCATTTGACATAGTTCATCTGAGGGACCACATTCGGCGAGTTGTAGCGTCCAACTTACAACACCTACAAATTTATCATTCTGGCTACATTTGTTTTAGAGGTTCTGCTAAATCTTTATGTATACGAAACCTTCGTTTTCCACAGTGGCCTCTCGAAGGGAACGCACATGAACCGACGACATCATAAAGGTAGTAGGAAGGTGCTGGACGCAGGGCCACTACCAATCGATCAACATGGAAATCATTGGGGCGAGGCTTATGTTCAGCAGTGGACGTCCTATGGCTGAAATGATCATGAGGTAAATTCACCAATAAAAAAAATTTCAAAGAGTAATTTTGATCGCAAGTGTATGAGCTCACAATGGGAGGCAAAAATTCGATCGCAGATAACTCGCCCGTAATGATGGTGTTCGGTCATCGATAGAAAAAACATTAAGCCCCCAGGCACACAGCCGGCTTGGCGCGTCTGCTGCGTGTTTGGAAATTCAATGCTTATATGATTGAATTTGACATGATGTATGTATAGTTTCACCAAATATCTAGTAGGTCACCTACCTAGGTGTACATTTAGCTGTGATATGATCGAACCCATTTCTCAAAAGTAAAATGAAAAGACTTATTCATCTAAAACTGGGTCAAATGAAAAAACGACTAAGAGTTTACGAAGCGTATCGAGGCGAACTGCATCGGACGCAGAATATTGTAGGACATCAGTTTTCTAGACTCGGCGGCTTGTAAACAAAGGCGGGCGTCGGTCCGTCTGTGAATCACGCCGCCAAGGCTGCCCGGTAACACTACACGAGGCACAGTCCAAGTGGATACACCAGCTCACTTGAAACAAAATTTCTGTTTTAAAAATAGTGTGGGTTATTTAAGAAACGTCACTATAAGATAATGATAAGATCTCCTAACTTGCACCTTTGCCCTCCCTTCACGAGGAGTTTACCGGGGAAATGCCGCGATTCCGGGGTGATTGATACTTGATTTTGTTCCATCCGTCCCGTCAAACGATATACCGGGGCGGCTGACACTTGATGACCATTCACTCTGTTATACGCTAAGACTATGACTACCGGGGTCGATGAAACACTGTTTACCATCCACCTCGTTGACGGGACAGAAGCACCGGGGTGACTGTCAGTGACCCCATCCATCTTTCCATCTCACTTACAATCACGCTGTCTACTACTATTTCTGAAACAGAGATGGGCTGGCTGTTTCTTTTAGTTCATCGCAAGTAGCGCATAGATCGTAGGTACCTACAGACATTACACGAGCCGTCCTTACAAAGAGCTACTGTCGTAACGCGAACATGACCCAACATACCGCTGTCAGCTTTGTAGAGAAAAACCAAGGAAGTGTCAGTGATTAGCGGCTGAATGCCCATTCTGTGCTTCAGCATTCTTTATACGGCTATAGGCTGTAAATTAGATTATTTCAATCATGCTAGTTACAAAGTTGCGGTTGAGCAGCTATTATTATACATATTATGGATGAGTCAAAGTCAAAGTCAAAATTTCTTTATTTGTTTAGACTAATAAATAGTTCTTACAAATTGTCATTTTGCTCTTAAGGAGCATCTACATGTCTCATAATCTTTTTACCCTACCAGCGCTTCGAGACCAACATTTGGCAAGTGCTGAGAAGAAGCGCCGCAACAAACTCAGTCACCACTGTCTGCCGGTTAATATAAATAAATAGAAATAGCAGTAGTAGGTACATTCGATTCAGGAGCAGTTGATATCCGTAAGATCGCAAGACTCGTTGAGGTTTAGTCATAAGTCATCTTTCAAGATCGATTACCATTAAAATGTAGCCCGCTTGGGATACATTAACAAAATTCAAGAGCTCGTAAGCGACATACTCGTCACACAAACATTTGCCTCTCCCGGGAGTCGAACCGCTGTGTAGTCCGGAGCGCCAACCACTAGACTTACGTCCGTCTTACCGTTAATATTAAAGTGGCTCTGAAGGCCACGGGTCAGTGCGGGGTTTCAGTTTCCTTACTGGGTCGTTAATCAACAATGCCATGGTAGAGCATAACTCTACCGTGATTGCTTGGGAAGACCTTTCCTTATACATCAATATTCTACCAATTAGAAATATAGAAATATCACTGGCACAAGTGACAAGTATAATTTGGCTAAAAACAAATGACTCGCGCACTAAGCTCACTCCTCACTCTCTCTACCAGGCTATGAAAAAATTAAAGAAATCTTATCAGAAATCCCTATACATCACACTTAATTTTGTTAAACAAGATGAAAATATGAAATAGAAATGAAGTTCTAAGTTATACATTGAATGATCTAAAGCAAAGTAATTCATGACATTACTGGTATTATTAAATCCCTAAATTAGTCATCGCTATTAATTAAACACGGCACCATTCATTACCATGTCAAGACATTCTTTGATGGAGTCGACGCATTTGCATAGCCAATTAGTCGTTGTCAATTTGAATTTATTTTACAGTCAATATGACTCAAGTTGGGAGGCAATTAAATGTATAAATAGGTAGGTATTTCAATTCCAATGGTATACATTATTAAATTGGTTTTAATATCTCGCTGTTTTTATTTAAGCAAGCAACCATTCGATCATTTTTGTGGGTTGTATTTTTTATTCAGTGAGACTATGCTCTACGACCCATATTAAGAAACTAAACTCAAGTCGCTTGTTATTAAGTATAGGTCCGTACTTATACTCAATAACAAGCAAGAAGAAGTAGAGCTGCAAAGACTTCAACCGGTTCTAACTTCTGAAAGCAGTTCCTTTAATTTCCATGCAAAATAACAATAACAAACCGTTACCAGAGCAGCTGAAACGATCATCACAGCGTCCATACTTGAACCTCGAGCGCCCGGCTGACAACAAGGGCTATTATCTAGACCAGACCAGCCACGTGAGACTACGTGACGCTGGCTGAGCTGGCCCCGCTCCCAAGCCAACCTCGACTCACAGCACACAGCAGAAGGATGCAAATCCATCCTCCTAGTGCTTCGGAACTAACTATACGTTAGACATCATGTTGTGTGTAATGTAATTGTATATTTGCCTTAATGGAAACACGATAGAGTAGGTTCACTCTGTATTTCAATACTCAAGACTTCCACTCTTGGAAATTAAAATGTTTCAGTAACTAAAATACAGAAACCGTTTA